TCCCTCGGCCGCCCCCCGTCCCCGTGTGCCTGCTTCTCAGAGCTGGGACAGCGGCCAGCACCCCGCTCCCTGCCCCAGTGTCCACTGCCTGTGGCCACCACAGAGCAGAGCTAGGCCCATCCTGGCCCTTGTTGTGCCCCGGCCATGGCTGCACCGGTAGCCCCAGAACCCCCCCAGCGGCGGCTGCATCTCAGGGGCCTGGGACGCGCGGGTCGCAAGGCAGGCGCAGGGCACAGACAGGCGCAGGGCCACATCGCACCTTTATTGCAGAGCTCGCAGACGTGGTGGGGGCCCTGGCTGTGCACCTTCATGTGGTCGGTGATGTAGGCGGCGCTCAGCATCTTGCCACACACGTGACACGGCACCTTCTCCTCGTGCCGCACCGTGTGGGCCCGCAGCCGGTCCTTGGTGGCGAAGGCCGCCTCGCACGTCTGTGTGGGGACCAGGGTCAGAGCAGTGCTGGGCTTCACCTCACCTGCCTGCCCCGAAACCTGGATCCTTTCTCCCGCACTGCAGTCCCCGGGGAGCCCCTTCCCAGATGCCTTGGTCCTCTCTCCCCTCCTAGGAACAGACTCCAGGACCTCCCGCTCCCCAAGACATCTGGGTCCACAGCCCGCTGCTGTCTCAGTGACCTGGGTCCTTCCTGGGCCTGGGAGCTGACGCCAGGCCCCTGCCCCGTGGCCCAGGCCCCTGCCCCGCTCCGCGGCGCCTACCTCACACTTGAACGGCCGCTCTGTGGAGTGCACCTGGCGCACATGGCTGTTCAGGTGGTCTGGCCTGGCGGAGGGCAGAGAAAAGGGTCAGGGCCTGGCACCGCCCGTGGCCCCCCGGCCCGCCTGGCCCGCGCCACGTACCGGGAGAAGCTCTTGCCGCAGTGGCTGCAGATGTAGGGCTTGTGCACAGCCCCGTCGTGCGAGCGCACGTGGTAGCTCATGCGGTCCTTGCGCTTGAAGCGCTGCTGGCAGACGGGGCACTGGTAGGGCTTCTCGTCCGAGTGCGACAGCTTGTGCCGGTTGAGGTGATAGACGTCACGGAAGGCCTTGCCACACATCTCACAGGCGTGGTTCTTGCGGATGCGCTTGCCCGAGGCTGTGGTGGTCACCAGGCCCCCCCCTGTACCACC